CAGATAGGAGATGTCATAGAAGACCAGTTGACCTCATAAGCTGCCAATTGATCTAGGAAATCCTCTACCGACGATCGGGGTTGTTTGTTGCTATAAAGGTATGGAGAGTTGCATTGGTTTGAGTCAGTTTTGCTTGGGGACAAGAAAACAGTTAAGTGTGGGGGAATTTGATGACTCGATATTTACACATGTTTTTGTCCACCATTCTTATACTGTTTGAGGCTCGGATCTCGGGTTTTATGCCGATTTTACGCTAGGTTATTCTTGTTTATGACATTTTAGGTCATAATGAGTGAATGAAGGTTTGAGCACGAGTTTGGGGTCGATTGGGCGAAATCGGGACGAGCGATGGAGAGCAGACAAGTAGCACGACCAGTATGGGAAAGTGCACGACCGTGCATCACCCTTTTCCGCGGGCAAGGCGGTACGGGCCGTGCAAGTGACCTTTTTGGCCGTGCGGGATTTACCAAGACATCGCACGGCCGTGCACGACTCATTTTCTGGCCGTGTTGAATTATGCCAGAGGCTGCACGACCAGGCTCTCGGATTGCACGTGCCGTGCAATGGCTGTGCACTCCCCTGGAGGAATGATTCGGGCCCAAATGTACACATTTTACCCATCATTTCTTATTAGTTTAGCTTAGTATTTCATCGTTCCTCGACATATTTCACGCTAGGTTGTGTTGTTTTGATACGTTTCAGGTCCTAGCACGTGTGGAAGGGTCGAGGTCGAATTTTGTGATAATTGGAGGTCAAAAAGTGCAAAACCGAAGAAAAGTTCGAAGTGAAGGCGTCCAAGAAACAGCCGCAGTTCACGGTCGGGGAAGGCAGTTCACGGTCTTCTAAGACCGTGAAGAGGAGGCAGGGGCCGTGAACATCAAGGCGTCCAGGGCCAAATCCCAAGTTACTAACACCGGGCGAGTTCACGATCTCTAAGACCGTGAACTGGGGCCATTGATCGTGAACCCAAGAAGCAAAGCGTTGCGTTTTGGAGACGACTGAGTTCACATACGCGTTTAGGTGTTCACGGTAATGAACTGGCCAATGCGTCCGTGAAGTGATCACTTTCGGGAAAATATGAAGACAACAACGGGGAGAGAGAAAGGAGAGTTGGTTTTTGGGGAAGGAACACTTTCTTTCTCTAGGGTTCAACCTAAAACACCAAAGGGGAGTTCTAGTGAGAGAGAAAGAGAGAGAGAGTGCTAGAGTGATCTTGGAGTATCATTGGAGGCTTGGGTGGAGATTCAAGCCTAGAAGAAGAAGAAGATCTTGAGCTCAAATTTTTAATCCCTCTCTGTCTCTCTCTCTCTAGAAACTCACTCTTTTCTCTTGGGTGTTGTAGATCCCTAACTAATACTTTGTAATTACTTGTTTAGATTGAATGATTGTTTATGGGTATTGTTCAATTCAATGATTGAGGTATTATTCATGTTGATTGTGCATGCTTATGCTTAGCAATCCAAGGGTTGTGCATGTTTTGTGCTTAGCATCCTTTGGTTTGTGCATGTTGGTGCTTAGCAATCTAATTAGCCACCTAATTAACTAGGTTAATTTAGGGCAAACCTTAATGTTGAACTAAGAAAATTGGTTAAGCCATCCAACCCTTGAATTGAGTGAGGGAGTAAGTCAACCACCGATTGCCTAAACCGAGCGGACCGAGTGACATGGCCATAATGTTCACCTCGGTTTAGCAATTGAGATTGTGGTCTACGACCATATATGCATCCCTCTGTGGTTCGCGGTTACCTTGCTCATAACAATCGTTTAAATCAAACGAGTCACGGTGTAACACCTTAGGCGAATCTCACATCGACAAAGCACGGGAGAGATCCATGGTTCATAAGTAGGAAGCCGGCCTTAACTGACAAGACGCTTTTTGGGGTGTAATGGAAGAGTTCTTGTGAGAACTCCGAAGTTAAACGTGCTCAGTGTGGAGTATAACAAGGATGGGTGACCTTATGGGAAGTCACCTTGAATTGCACCCCAAGTCAAAATCCGTGCGGGTGTAGAGGCCCTAAGCGGACAATATCTTGTAGGGAAAAGGTTCGGGATGTTAAACACGGTAGCTAGTTAAGGGGAAGCAACTACTGGGTGAAGCTCCCATAGTTAGGATTTTCCTTCATTTACTTTTCCTTGCTTGTTTAGTTTATAGTTCCATTAGACCTAAACCCCAAAACTGTTTTGCTAAATAACAACTTAAGCGATTGAAGTAGGGGTACATGGACCGGCCCGGGTTGACAATTTAAATACTTGCTCTATACTGCACCCGGCTAGAGTTTAAAAACTTGGACTCTAGTCGGGATTAATTTGTGGTGTAGTTTCGTGCGAGTCACAGAACTAATTCAAATGGCACGTTTTGGGGTGCACAGGCAGCCAAGGAGGTTGCACAGTCGTGCGGTCTGGCCGTGTAATCGCGGACAGCTGCATTTTAACCCAATTTCGGGTTTTGGAGAGGGGATTCGACTTTTTGAGCAAAACATAGTTCTAGAGAGAGAAAGTGCGAAGAACAAACCCAAGGAGCTATTTGGAGTGGATTTCTCATCATTGAAGCCCCAATTGCATCCCTAGGAGTGAATATTGACATCTCAAAGTAGATTATTCCCATCTTTATGAGTATGACTGCTTTGATTTCTGTTTTCCTCTCTATATATATGGAGTAGACCTTTCTCTCACTTGGGTATGAAGAACCCTAGTTCCATTTGTCGCACCGCCCCTCCGAGATCGGGGATCCGTCGCGAATTGCTCGGAGTCGCCATCGACCTTAGTTAATTGTAGTGGGTCGAACACTAATGGTCCATTCTCGACCTTAGGGTCGAAAACGGGATTTGGTCAGCTAAATTTTAGAGATTTGGGTTCGGGAGTACGGTTACGTGTGGGGAAGTATATTCACACCCCACAACGCCCAAAATTGGTACTACTTAAATCGATAGTTTTTAAGGGTAGGGTGTATTATTATTTGCGGCTTTTATTTGCGCACTTAATTATAAGATTCAATTAATTAAGTATTTATTAATACATGATCTGATCATTACGTCTATTGACGTAAATCCCGGAAGGTAAACAAAGAGTTTTATAATTAGTTGGACTCGAACCTATCGGTTGCCTACGTACCTGAGTAGCCGGGATCAAAGTCCACATAGTTCGTTTATAATTGGGATTTTTAAATGTTGAGTCTCACATATTAGGAATGTGGAGAAAATTTGTTAGTCGGACTTGAAACCTATTGTTTGCCTACATACCAGAGTAGTCGGGATTAAAGTTCACGTACTTTGGTCAAGTTGATTGGTTTTGAAAAGGGTATCTTAACACGTTTCTATTGATACGTGATTAAGATAATAATTTATTTTCTTATTTAAGAAATGTAATTGGTATTTATGTTTAAAGGGGAGCAAATTTGTTAGTCGGACTTAAATCTATTGGTTGCCTACGTACCCGAGTAGTCGGGATCAAAGTCCACGTGGTTCGATTAAATAAGAGCGATTTGAAAGAAGTGATCTAAAACACGTTCTATTGATCGCGATTAAGATACTTTGAGTTGTTAGGAAATGTATTTATGATGTTTCAACTTAGTAGTTGAGTGTAAAACCATCTTTCAAATGATTCCAGCTAGGGTAACTATTACGGCTTATTTATCATGATTTCGTATTAAGATATTTTCTAAGTAAAACGAGCATGGTTATGAATAATGAAGCCAAAGTGAATGTGGTAATGAAGCTTTATAATATTTTGAAATGTTTAGAGGTATACATAATTTGGTTGAAACAAAAATCCTAGTATGATTAGTTGACACGAATATTACGTATTAAGCTTGAACACGAAGAATACGAGACGAGGAGATCAAATTCTCAAGTATGATGACATAGCTTAGTGGTTGATCGCCCTAACCTAAATCAATTACTGAAATCATGGTCTCTGGTTAGAGACTTAACAGGGCATATATTTTTGGATTTCACGGAAGCCATCCTAGTTATTCTGCTAACTTGAAGATTCGTTAGTATATACTAACTAATATCCAAAATATATGAACTAATATCCAAATCTACTGAGTATCTAGATAGCACACACTAGTATTCAAAACATTACAAACTAGTATCCAAATAGCAGATACCAACTAATATCCACAATCAACCAACTGGTATTCAATATGGATACTCTTATGTGTTATCTGGATACTCTTATGTGTTGTTTGGATACTATTCTGTGTTGTCTAGATATTAGTTTGTGAATTTAGGATAATAGTTGATTCATGGTGGATATCAGTTAGCAAACTTTGAATACTAGTCTGTGCTCTCTAGATACTTTAATACTTGGATATTAGTTCATGTATTTTGGATACCAGTTAGTATCTGCTAACGAATTTTCAAGTTAGCAGATTAACTTTCTCCCACGGAAGCAATCTGAGAGTGGCAGTGGGTAATTAGTCGAAAACAAGGAGGGTGTTTTAGTCATTTTGCGGAGGACGATTATCTAAAGGAAAATGAAGAGGGTATGGCAGTTGAATATAGCGGTTACTTCGTACTCTTCTCTTTTCTCTTCTGTTACTCCCATGGTTGGGGAGATATGGCAGTCCGGCCATCCACACGTTGTGGCCGTGCTACTCTTCAACGGTTGTGTTTTCTCAATCGCACCTAGTTGGTTATTTTTCATTCATCCTCATCTCCGACTCTGCCCACCCAAGCAGTTCTTTGCGAATCGACATTATCTTCCATGTCGTTACTTTTCTACGGCAGTTTCCTTGGTGGTTGCCTCTGTTTCTCCTTCTATATCAGAGTTCGCCTCTTCCATGTCTTTCACTGTTACTCTCTCCTTTTGCCCATCCACCCTTTTTACATGATCATGGCTTCTTTTAGCAATGTTCCGTCTGCGGTTGATATCGTTGTTCGTATCTCTGGTGCCAATAAAGAGATTTTAGAGAGGCGTGCTGCTCTCAGTCTTGTTGCACGAATCTTTGATCCCCAACCTCTTAATCATCTGGTTATCCAACAGATTCTCAGCAAGCTTTGGGGCCTCACCGTGGGTCTTGTCGTGTTGATGTTGGATTTGGTCTGTTCAGGATTGTCTTCTCGACTAAGCCTGATCGTGACCGGGCTCTGGAAAAGCAGCCCTGGCCATTCCGGAAGTACTTGCTCAACCTTCAGGCGTGGGTAGCCCCGACCCAAGCGATGTACGATCGAATGGCCTCAATGGCATTCTGGGTTCAACTCAGGGGCGTCCCTCATGACTATTCCACTATTTACTTCGGTCGGGAACTGCTGCAGCAACTGGGGGAGGTTTTGGACATTGGCCTCTTTGGCTCGCGTACTTCTACTGGTTATTTCCTCAAAGTCAAGTTAATTCTGGACGTCACTATCCCCTTCCGCGGGCGTCTGATGGCTGAATCAGGGGATTCTTGTTCTCAGGGGATTCTAGCCGGTTCTGGGTGTATCTATGTTATGAACGGCTCCCACCGGTCTGCTATCGGCGTGGATTGCTAGGACATAATAAGACTAATTGCCCCCACAAGGATTCGCTGGAATACAATCCTGCTGCTCGGGGTCGATGGATGTCGGCGGCGCCAGAGGGTGCTCGCTTAGAACCGGACACTTTCCGTCCAATCAAGCTTTTCCGGGAGGCCCTGTGGCGCGCTAAAGATGCTATTCCACCTCTCTTAATCCTACCCCCTACCCATCTAATCCGATGCTGGCTCTCCCTGCGGTGCCACCTCAAGTGTTGGGTCTCCCTGCTACGGGGGTTGGATCCTCTATCCCGCGGTCTCCCAGTTCGGTCGGCTCTACCTCGCCACCGTGCGTTCCGAAGGCGGAACACATAACCCGCCGGCTTCTCGCGGCAAGCAGCTTCTCCTTGAGTATCCGCCATCTCCACCTACTAAATATGTATGTGCCCTGCGCATTGGAATATCTGAGGACGACCTGCTTGTGGATCGGAAACGTCTGGTTGTTGATATGGAATCTGAGGGTTCGCCGACTGGTCCGCTTGCTCCGGCAGACAAAAAGACGCGCCGCTCCTTGGCATTCTCGGCGGATGTTGATGCTGCTTGAAAAGAGCAAGATGTTGCATTAGGCCCTCTGAAAGTTGAGGAGCTTCTTGCCGACTCTGGTCAACAGTCCAGCCTGATTCTTTCTGCTGAATTATGAGCCGCGTTGTTTGGGCCTCCCTCTAATTGCCTGGGCCCAGAAGTCTCGCTTCCTTGGAGGACGATGCTGATGGTGGTTTTGGGCCTGAGCTTGGATGACGTGAAGACTACTCCTACTGATGGTGCGGTGGTGGTGACCAGCCCGGAATGGTCACCAAGTGATCAGTGAGTTTATTGAGTTGGAATTGTCAAGGTCTGGGAGGTACTTTGACATTCCATGAACTCCAATCTACTATTCGTCGTAATTTCTAAGTTTTTGTTCTTAAGTGAAGTTAAAATAAATGAATCCCGTTGTAATTCTAATATAGCTCGTTTGGGGTTCACCAATTCGTGTGTTGTTCTGCCTACTATCACTTCGGCGGGTGGCTTAGCCTTTATGTGGGATTCTACTATGTGTGGTGAGATTGTTGATAAATCTCCTAATGTAATTGTTTATTGTTGGGATATTTCGTCTAATAAAAGTATGCTACTAGTTGGTGTGTATTTATCTTGCCATGTTCCGACTCGCCAAGTTCAATTGTCTCATTTGCAAGCTACTTTAAGTTCTATAGACCTCCATAATGCTATATTTGGTGATTTTAATGTTGTCTTAAATAATGATGAAAAATGTGGTGGAGCTACTTTTGATCGCCAGGCTGCTTCCGATTTTTCTGATTTCATTGACGACTTGGGTCTCATAGATATTGGGTTCCATGGGCACCCCTTTACTCGTTCAAATCATAGTTCTGGGACAGCTCTCATCGAAACCCGATTAGATATGTTTCTTTTTCCCCCGGAGGTTCTAAACATCTTTCCCAATTCCGTGATCAATCATTTGAATGATATTGGGTCCGATCATCGCATGATTCTTTGGTCACCTCACCAGCGATTACGTCGATCTAAACGTTTGTTCCGCTTTGATGCCAGATGGATACATAATCCTGAAGCATGTCTCATCATTACTTACTACTGGAATCGGCCTGTTACTGGTTCTGCGATGTTATGCCTCCATACCCGACTCAAACGGGTTCGTCATGCTCTCTATCAATGGGTTATTGCGTGCTCCACCAACTCTCTTCATCATATCCATGACCTCACTGTTGAACTTTGTCGCAAACGCGCTTCTCTCGTACCAGATGGGACCATATTCGAAGTTTAGAACGAGATCTAACGCCTGCGTGGGATCAAGAGGAGGCGTACTAGTGCCAGCGTTCCTGTATCACTTGGTGCAGCGTGGGGATCGCAATACATCATATTTCCATCGCGTTACCCAGACTCGTCGGGCGCACAATTTCCTTCACACCCTGTCGGATCCCACTAGTCACATTCATACCGATGAACAAGCTAAGGGGCAAGTTGCGGTGGCTCGTTATACCTCGTTGTTCACTTCCAAAATTGTCCCGGCTGATGCGGTTCAGGCTGTTGATAATCTCCACCTTCAAACTCGGGTTGATTTTGCCATGAATGACGTGCTTCTCGCACCATTTACTGCACAGGAGATTAAGCAAATCGTATTCCAAAAAGGTTCCACTAAGGCCCCTGGCTCGGACGGTTCACTGGTCTGTTTTTTTCATCATTTTTGGGATATGGTAGGGCCTTTGGTCATCCAAGCTATGCAATCTTTTTTTCATACTGGCCATCTCTTGCGATCTTTTAATCATACTTGGCTAAAGCTCATTCCAAAAGTACCGAATGCCAATTCGTGTGCGCAACTTCGGCCAATTGGGCTTTGTCAAGTGTTCTACAAGGTTATTTCCAAGCTTTCAGCAACTCGCCTTGGCAAAATCCTTCCTCAAGTTATCTCCTCTTACCTGAATGGGTTTGTTAAAGATCGTTCCATTATTGATAATGTTCTGATCAGTCAGGAAGTTATGAATTATCTTCAGAATAAGCGTACTGGTCGGGAGCATTTTATGGCTCTCAAACTTGATATGGAAAAGGCCTACGATCGAATTGAATGGTCTTATTTGTTTTCGCGTGATGGAGAAACTTGGCTTTCACTCTCGTTGGATTGGCTATCTCCAAAATTGTCTCACGACGACTTCTATTTCTATCCTTATGAATGGCAGTGCTTATGGCTATTTCACTCCTTCACGGGGTTTGAGGCAAGGGGACCCTCTCTCACATGTACTCTTTGCGATTTTTACTGAAGGATTCCCTACTCTGATTTCCCAGGCTATTTCTAGGGGTGATCTCAAAGGTGTGCGCTTTAATCATCATTGCCCCATTCTTTCCCACTTGTTTTTCGCGGATGATGCTTTCTTGTTTCTTCGTGCTTCGACGAGGGACTGTCAATTCCTCTTACATCTTCTGCACCGCTATGAGCATATGAGTGGGCAACAGGTTAATCTCTCCAAATCGGTGGTGGTTTTCTCTAAGAATACAACTACGAGTGAAGCTTCTTCCTTTGGGGCGCTACTCCAGGTGGGAGCCATTGGTGTTCGTGATCGTTATTTGGGACTCCCTTCTCTTGTTCGTCGTTCTAAGCGTGAAACTTTCTGTTAAATTGAGGAGGCGGTGGCCAAACGTCTTCAAGGGTGGAAACGTCGTTGTCTCTCTTTGGCAGGTTTAGAAACGTTGATTAAGTATGTTGTCTCGGCTCTACCTGTTTATGCTATGTCTTGCTTTCGCCTACCAAAGGAGTTGTGTCGTAATCTTAATCGTATGATTGCTCGGTTTTGGTGGGGTCAGCAAGGCACTGAACGTCGTCTTCCTTGGGTTTCGTGGAAAAAGTTGTGCTTATCGAAAGCCTCTGGCGGGCTTGGCTTTCGGGATTTTTGTACCTTCAATCAGGCTTTATTGGCCAAGCAGTGTTGGCGTATTCTTAATTCTCCCAATTCGCTCGTTGCTCGTGTGTTGAAGGGTCGGTATTTTCCTCATTGCTCTTTCCTCTCTGCCATTTCTGGCTCCACCCCGACTTGGGCTTGGCAATCACTTCTGCATGGCCGCGACTTACTTCTTCATGGTTTATGATGGGAGGTTCATACTGGTGTTTCCATTGACGCGTTCACTAATCCTTGGGTACCTACTTTACCTACTTTCCGTTCTACTTGTCTTCCTTCAGTACAAGTTTCTCCTTTGTTTGTTTCTCACTTTATTTCTCCTACCACTTCAACCTGGAATCAGGCTCGATTATGTGAATATTTTAATACTTCTTCCGTTCAAGGCATCCTTGCCATTCCCATTCCCCGCACTTCATCTCCGGATAAGTATGTTTGGCATTATACCACCAATGTCATTTTTTCCGTAAAGTCGGCTTATCACCTTGGTCTTCAAATCAATGCTCATTCCACTCATCATCCTTCCCTGTCGGTGGAAATTGCCTCTCCTCTTGATCCCTCTTCGTGGCCAAAGGTTTGGTCTTTACCAGTTATGCCAAAGCTCAAGTTTTTTCTCTGGCGGATGCTGCTTCGGATTCTGCTTGTTTGTGAAGACTTGCTTCGGATTCTGCTGTGAGCATCTGTTTATCCGTTGTCCTGTGGCTATTTGCCTCCGTAATGACATTGGCCTCACTCTCCCACTGGGTTTTGATTCTTCTTTCCATTTCGCTTTGTTGTGGCGTATTCTATTGTACCATGCTGCTCTGGATATCATTTCTGATTGGCTTCTTCTTTGTTGGTGTCTTTGGAAATGGCGTAATAATGTTGTGTTCTCTCCTTATGCCCAATTCACTATCCTTGTTCTTCGTCGTCAATTCCTTTCCCATCAAGATTCCAACTGCCTCGCCATAGTTGCTCCTACTCCCCAACCAGCTTTGCCGCCGCACAACAGGGCTTCTTCGGACGTTTAATGTGGTGCTTTTCAAGGCCTTCGGTTGGCGGTTGATGGAGCCACTTCTTCTCATCCGTCTGGAGCCATTGGTATTTTCGGTCTAACTAGAGCTGTTCCGACATTCGCTTTTGGTTCATTGACAAGCTAGTTTCGGGCGACTTATCTAACGCACGTGCAAGTGCTATTTTTCTGAGGTTTATGCGTTATTATTACAGTTGCCAAAGGTCATTTTACAATTCACACCTTGAGATGCGAATCGGGCTGCCCATTTTACAATTCATTTTACAATTCTCGCAACCAAGCCAGTGACCAGAACGAAAACGATGATGACGCTCCATACAACCCTCAAATCGACGGTAAGTCAAGGTTCGAGGCTTGCATGTTCGTTTCTTTGGATTTGCTGAGTGTTTTATGGTTTTTTTGTTGGGGTTTTTGACCCTTTGTTTTATTTCGACTGGGTTCTCGATGGGAGATGGAGGAACATAGGTCACCGGTGACTCAGGGGGTCGCCGGAGACAAAGGCGACGAGGACTAAGGTCAGATTTTCGGTAAGTTTTGAACTTTTCATTTTTATTTTGGTTCTTGTTTTGAGGATTCTAACTAACTTTCTGGGTTTTTGGATGATGTTTTGGACGAGGAGAAGGATTGAGCTCCGTAGATGTCAACTCTGGCGAAGCACCAGTGACGGGGAGGTTATCTGTCACGTGCCTATTTTATATGCCCATTCGTCTGCCACTGTTAGTTTGTTTCCCTTTACTTTTTCCAGTTCGATCCACGTTCTAGACGTTGGGATAATCCCCGGTTTACAAGGCCTCTGTTGACGAGAGCCATTTGGGGTTTTATTGTTGCTATATAAACTTTATGCAGAGGAATAAAGAGGCAGACAATTAAGAAGTAAAACTCAATCCCCACCTTCTTCCCCTTCCCAGCTCTGCTTCTCATCTCTCGTATTCTTCAGTTCTTCCATTCTTCTTCTTACTTCTTCTTTTCCCTTCTCCATAACCATTTCTCCTAAACGAGACAAGGGGATTTTACCCACACCCTGGCCTCAATCTCAATTCGAGCGATCCCTTACTCGGCGATACGCACACGACCATAACATTTTGGTATCAGAGCCTCGCGATCGGAAACCGGCTGCTGCCATGGATGAACGCG